AGCTCAAGTATTTCTAAAACACTACAATTATTCATGTTATATAATTGGTAAATTTCATGTTGTGCAGTTCATTAATTTCACTTCAACTTCTGAAACTGCATGCTGTTTGTTCTACCAAGAAATATTCTAATACTTGTTATATTCAAAGGGAGACCGATACCCCTCAAAGACTCCAAAAATATTTCTTAAGCAATTCTTTTTATAGTAATACCCTTGGCAGGATTCTATAATTGATAAAATTCAGCAATACCTCTGAGTGTGATGTGTCCAACTTAATACTTGTTGTGCTAAAAGGAACATTTTGATATGACTATTCCCCACTCCCCTCTCCCTAACTTCGTCCATTTTATGGTGGGTGACAAACAGCACACTTATTCCAAAGATATTTTCCATGGCATATCTTTCATTCATGAACGGATTCTACAATAGATAAATTTCACATATACCTCATAGAGTGACGTTCGGATTGTGTAACTATATACAATCTGTGCTCTTAAAGAAAAGGATTGGTCTCGATATGGCGAACTAAATTGAACATACATGTATATTTCTCTTAAACCAGCCATCAAAAAATTCTGAAAATTTTACACATCGTACATCTAGTGATCCTCTTTTAAATGGTAACAGTTAAATTTGAAAAGATTATAAATACTTTTCTCTATATTGTTTTAGAAAACACATCAGACACTTCTTTTGTTCTTGGTGTCATATGTCCGGAATGAAACGAAACATCTCTCCGAACCTCATTGGAACAAAACGACATATACACAACGTGTTTAGGTCTCTCAATATTGTAATTGTAGAGAGGAAAGTTTTGTTTATTCAAAAAAGTATCTAGTTAATAAAATAAAAGGTAAACTTTAATTTTTATCTATTTTGTGGTTTTTGTTTTAATTTTGGACACTTTTTGTTAAATCAACCACATTTTCCTTTGTATACTAGTAACAATAATATTGAGAGGTCTAAGAAAATACCGTATATGCTATTTTGTTCGAACAAGGATCGGAAAAAATTTATATCATTTTCAAGAATTGGTAGAAAGGAACAAAAACAATTGCACTTAAAATCCAAAAATGTTAACAAAACAGTTATTAAAAATATATTTAAATACTTTTCGCATTACACTGTTGTCAATCAGTGACTATTGCACAAAGGACCGTGTTTTTACAGAATGTTTTCAATATTTGGTTTAAGAGAAAAACAATGTTAAATTCAGTTCGCCATATCGATACCAATTCTATAAATATGACTTACCAGTTCCCCTCAACGTTAATTCATCCATTTAGGAAGGAAGATGCATAGCACTTTCTTATTCAAAAAGTATTAAAAATAACATTCACTTCATTCAGGAAGGGATTCTAGAGTAGATAGATTACAAATTTCAAAAGTTCATAACACAGTCAATAGAGGCCTGACTTTCACGAAATAAAGCATATTGGAAAGAGAATTAATATGTTAAATTATTATCTATCAAATAGAGCAATTATCATATTTTTGTATTTTCTAGAGTATTAGAAAGAAGGTAACAATCAATATTTTATTAATTTCAATTTTATTGGCTTCACGTTCCAACTATCATAACTTTACTCCTCTACCCCCAGTCACCTTGGTTTTTACGCCAAAAAGTGAAAAAAATACCAAAAAATATTCTTGAAAAATTCGAGAGGGGGTCAGATTGACTCCCACCCCTGTAGACATTAGGGTTAAGGAAAGTCTTAATATGACTTAACGCCTCACCATCAACTTAATTCAATAACAAAAATAGATTGACAAAACTGTAGTCAATGTTATATTGGTGAGACAGGGCGGGATTTGGAATGTAGAGTAAAGGAGCACAAGAGGGTCACCTTATCTTCCAATGGACAGATAGCTTCAGCCATTATGGAACACTCTATAAATAAAGAACATGAAATAAATTGGACAGGTGTATCGGTTATTGATAATGAAAAACACTGGTTAAAAAGAAAAATCAAAGAAGCAATCCATATTAAACTTAAAAGTCCAGAATTAAACAGGGATCAGGGTTACACACTGGATCCCGTCTATTTTAAGATGTTATAGTTTATATATTCATATTCATTATGTCTTAGTGTTGTTACTAGGTGCATGGTATGTTGTGTAATACCTTAGTAACGTTTTTAATTGTAAATTACTTCATTGAAGTTTTTATGGTAACGGTTACTATTTGTCTCAATAATTTTTTAATTGTAACATCATTGACGTTTTCTATAGTTACGGTTGCTATTTGTCTCATCGTTATGTAATGATTAATTATTTCAGTTTGATTCAAATACATAATCTTATTTCTGAAGAAACAATTTTCAGTTGCTTGAAAAAGATTTAAAGATTCTCGCAATCTTTATCCAATCAGCGTTTGCGAGTGTGTCGGCTCACGTATAAAAGGCGAATCCAACTCAAATCCATGCAGGGGTGTATGAGGTACTCGAATAGGAGAGCTGTGAAATCTGAATTTATATGCACATGGTCAATGTTTACACATGTTTGGAGTTATTGAAGAAAATGTGATATGGGTGTGGTTCCGAATTTGAAGTCATTGCTGGAAAATATGATTTTAATACGTGAAATTATATCTATAAATACAGTACTAAAAATAACAGCACACATGAAGTACATGTATGATTGTGTCCAGAAATGTTTGAAACCCTTACAGAAAATTCTGTCTGCATTTTGTCACCATTGCTCTTTCTTCCCGCATTCTAGTGCTGTTTGAATGAATATATCAATAAATGTATTTCTAACTAAAATATATCACATTTTTTGTGAAACCACAAACATTTAGATCATAAAAAAATATTCAATACTTGAGTGAGCACGATATGCAAGGGTTACTAAGTAACAGTAAATGACCACTGATATTGTGTTAGCAAATATGTATTAGCAGAATCACGGGAGCAGAATACGCTGTGTGCATGGACTAACACCCCTCACTTTCATATTGAAGTGACTAATTGGTTTATGTTTACGTTTTAATGTGTTTTGGGTTCCTTGTTACAGCAAGGGAGGCCAGTAAAGTAGACTAACATGTTTGCATGGCAAATTTTGATCGAATATGTGAGACACTTTAAAGAATAAATCGAAATATTGCAAAACAAAATCAATTTGAAGAAGTAGGATGGACATCCTACGAAACGTCAAAAAGAAAAAAGATATCTCTGAGATAGAAAATCAACAACTGTGTAAATAGTTTATGAAAATAGTTTATTAAAATTTGATATGGTGTCAGTTGTACTGCCATACTGGGGTAGGGGCAAGGGGTCAAAGCTCTGAACCTTTGTTGTTCTTACAATGCTTTACAAAATACTCATGAAAACATTGGCATCAAAACACCTCAGCTAATCAAAACCCGTAAATTGAGAACAATTGTGGCCAAAAATGATTTTCTTATCAAGCATCGGTAAATAACTCAGATGCGAGTAGGTAGTAACCAGTTGGCTCGTTCGTGTCAGATAGCATGGCGGGTATAGTAGAAAGTTGCCTTTAACTTAAATATTAATCTGTTTAGTGGTTCAATTTTCATATCACCCTTATGTATCGAACAGTTATGTCTAGTAAAAGAAAATGTTATCTGTCCAATACGACAAAAGATATTTCACTTTTTGTGATTTTATAACATGGGGTATATGGGGAATCACTCCGAACTAGAAGTCAAAAAATAAAATTTTCAAAGTTGATAAAAAATTGGAACCCATATTTCTAGATGTACTTTTACATGTAGATTTCAAATATAATGTAACTTTGACTGAATTTTGAATATTTAATGACGCAAATCAAGATTATTTCTACTCGCATCTGTTTTAATGAAGCGGATAAATTTGTTTTTTGCCATAGCGTTATATTAATTCTTAAGACGAAGTATTATTTATATTTTCACAATGAACATTTAATCTATTTTTCCTAAATAAAGTACATATGAAACCATTTCATTCAAAAACAAATATGAAAATACATTCACAAATAGAAACAATACATTCACGTTACCCCCAAATCAGCTAGGTTAGATAGACCGGGGAGATTAGTCCCCTTAAATTGAAATAAACACTTTAAATTGCATTTAAAAACCTCGTATACTACACGGCTATGAAATTGTACATCCAAATCATTTTATTAAAAAATAAACTTTGAGTGATGTTATACGTATCACCATGTCTATCAATTGAAACTTTGAAGAAGAACAGAATAAAATTATCTTTCAAGATCATTTGAGAATTGCTCGTTGAGAGGTAAAGAACGATCAAATTGTAAAATATCCCACATATTGGTGTCATAAAAGTGCCGGTGTAACAGATTTAAGTGTCCCCCGGTGGTCAGTGTCCGTGGGACAGCCACGTAGGACCCCGATCCCTAGGGTTGGCTGTCCATTGGAGGACATTAAAAACCAGGTTTTATTTCCTATATTAACAAGGATAAAATGGGGAGACAGTTATAACTGGGGACACTTAGATCTGTTACACCGGCATTTCTGGCCATAAGCCAATAGACTAGATGCGAGTAGAAAAATCTTGATTAACGCCATTAAATATTCAAAATTCAGTCAAAGCGATGTTATATTTGAAATCTACATGTAAAAGTACATCTAGAAATATGGTTTCGAAAATTGTTTATCAAGTTTGAAAATTTAATTATTCTTGAAAGTGAGACTTCTAGTTCGGGTTGATTCTCCATAGAGCCCTTGTTACAAAATCACAAAAAGTGAAATATCTTTTGTTGTATTGGTTAGATAACATACTCGACATATTTTGATTTACATAACTATTGGATACATAAGGGTTATATGAAAATTAAACCACTAAAACAGATGGAATTTAAGTTAAAGGGAACTTTCTACTATACCCGCCATGCTATCTGACCCGAACGAGCCACCTGGTGGTGAAACTGGTAACTACCTACTCGCATCTGCATTATTGAATGAATACAATTAATAAGCCCTGGATTCAATCAAATCTAAGACATATTTGACAGCTTTATTTCGTTATTTAAGACATACTTGAAAACTCATAAATAAGTAATTCATTATGTTAAGAAATATGTTGACGTCATCTTAGCTGAAGTTTATTTCCTTACAAGTAATTTCGTTTGGATTTGTTTGAATTGATGGGATACGCCTCTACTAATGGACAGATCTGATGCGCAAGATTTAGGTAAGTTTTTGTAAAATCTGGTTGTTACTTTGCAAACTATGTATCGTCGTCGGTATTAACAAAAGTAAGAATTCATCAATTCTTCTTTTTGCGTCGTTTATCTAAATTTGTGATGTTAACATTGGTAGAGACCATAAGTAACACATGCTGGTAGATTGAAAAACATAGCAAAATACAACAAATATAATCGATTAAGGTATTTCAGATACAAGGCATATATATCTAGAGATGATTCAAAGCACCAGCGATTGCATTCCTGAGCTATCTGAAGTGCGAACTATTCCACAAGTTAATGAAAATGGTGATATCGATGAGACATATGACGAAGACGGTTACATTTTGCCAGAAAACCGCCGATATCAAACTGTTGTAATACCTTTAGAAAACAACACGGGGCATGGGCGTCATAAAGCAATGAATTCAGCTGTTCGCCAAGGTCTTGTGGACAAATCGGACGATAACAGTAAATCAGAAAAGAATAAAAATACAAAAAGAGATACAAAGAGAAATTGTTGTGTTATACTTATGATTACAATGGTATTGATTGTGGCAACAGTCTGTACTGCATCAGAACTAATCTACTCACAGACAAACGGTAAGTTTACACGACCGGAGCGTTTTCAGTAATAAAATAATGTAGACTTATTTACAAAAGATAAAAAGATAAACATATCAGCTATACTTAGTTTGATTTTTAAGATATTTTATATGGATCATTATAATAAACTGATCACATTCTTATCACAAATGATGTTGGAATAATTTTCCATGTACAGGCAGATTTTACCAGTCACATTTTTCTTGATGCTGAATTAGATTCTCTTCATCTTACTTATTTGCTTTGTGATACTTCTAATATTTCATTGTTGGGTGATAATAATATCAAAATATACTGAACAACCTATAGCTATTACACTTTTTTCTGACATACTAATTGATATGTCAATACAATATACGGATTATGCACTGGGAGGTTTTGGAAACAGGGAATATCCCGAAAGATATCTTCCCAAGTGCCTGTATCAAAACCGACCGTGCATTACTGCCCTGATGAGGTTTGAAATAATAAGCAATGTGTCCCATATGCTGATGCATTAACTTGCTAACAAACTCGTTCAGTACTTGAGCACCCAAACGAGTTTTCTTTGCGATATGTTCGTTTTCTGTGTTTACCAAGAATTCATTCGCATTATTTGTTTAAAATTTTGTTCACTCTGATCGTCTGCCATCTTTTTCTTTTGTTTAGTTCAGTGCTGAAATAGGGATGATGGGAATTCCCGGGGCGGGATATATTTCCATCGTATGTCCCGGAGAACGCTACCCTTTGCATTCGTTCGATTTCACTTTTTAAAAGAAAGTTTCGTCTTCACTCTTTCAGTTAACAATAAAGCTCTGATCTCATTGAGCCGTTCAGAGTTCGTTGTCGAAATAAGGAGAACTTTCTATATGGTTGTTTCCTCTGACATCCCCGCATAGTTAATGAGCATATTTTCAGCATGTGTTCCTTCCACTTTGGTGACATATGAAATATATTCGCCCAGATATGGAATATATTCCCGGTTAATATGTCCCTGAAACCTCATCAGGTATGGAATACGATACTTTTATTTGAGGCATGACTATTATTCCTGTAAGATTGTTGCTTCAACTACATGTAGTATACGTTCACCGTTTTATTCAGAAACCCAGAAAAAGTTACTTGTCCGATTCTAGGAACACGTGAAACAGTGTTTCCTGCATCTCAAAAAGTTTACTTTTAAAATCTAACCTTATAAAAAAGTTATCGCTTAATAAAGAAAATATGGAGATTTTTGGCCCACCCTGAATAGTGAAATATTTATCGCCTATGATACATTTTATAATTCAACAACTAAACACTTCTATTGATTATACTCTAAGACAATTCTTATCATTTTCTCCTGAAAGGCATAAATGATATTATAGTAGTACAAAAGTATTTGCAATTTTCAGGGACACTTTCTATACTGTAAAACTATATTGTTGACCTTGCAATATCGTAAACTTCTTATAACACATATGGCTATTTTTCTCAACAGATCTCAACAGGGAAAACCAACCAGACATTTCGTCAAACCAAAGCAGTACACACAATAAATACACGGGTGTCATATCTGTGAAACTCAGCCAACAAAGTGATCGATATCCTAACGAGGCAACTGAATATGCAGGAGCGATGAAAAATAAATCATCCTACGCCTTGTGCAAAGGTGATCCTACGATCTTTTTCTGTCTGTAAAATTTGACACTGATAATATTTTGACACTATATACAAAATACTATTTTGTCGGTGGTAATCAACGGTTGGCGTTCTGCGATCGGTGTCTAAATAAATGGACGAAGGTGACATTTTGCTTACAATAATTTTGCAACAAGTGCCTTGTTCATCATTTCTAGATTACGATTATGGAGAAAAAAAATGTTATTACATTTTCATTATTATTATTAGGAACTATCTATTAATAGCATGTAATGTTATTGGCTAAATACTGAAATATATGTAATAATTAATTATCATTTTATTGAATTTGAATTACCACCACCTTGCGAGGCCTTGACTGCTAAAGTATCAAGCAGCCGTAAAACAAAATTGTGTTGACCCTAGAAATAACAGACTGCTCGATCGCCGTTGCAAATAAGACTACATGAAAGGTTCCAATAAGACAACTGGATGACCTGTTAAGTTTATGCAACCCAAAGGTAATGATTTCATAGATAAGATAGACATACCCTACTTAACAGACTAGATGCGAGTAGAAATAATCTTGATTTATGTCATTTAAAATTCAAAATTTCGTCAAACTGTAGTCATATTTGGAATCTACATGTAAAATTACATCTAGAATTGTGGTTATAAAGAGAGATTGTCAACTTTGAAAATTTTATTTCCTTTGAAAATGTGACTTTTAGGTCGGGGAGATTCCCCATAGACCCCATGTTGTAAAATCACAAAAAGTGAAATATCTTTTTTGTGTTGTAATTTGACTTTAATTCCAATACCTCCAAATTTTCTCAATTTTTTCCTCAATTACAATAGGTCGAAAATTCATGATGAAATTGATGAATTTTTGAAAATCGACATTCCCATGTTAACCAATGGGAAATGGTAGGTTTGCCGCAGGTCATATGACAGAATATCCATCCATCCGAGTCCTTGCAAAAATACGAGTTAGGCAGGTAATTGAATTTGCTAACTTTATTTAACAAAAAATTGATATGTTTCTTCAGGTTCAACAAAGTTATAGGGCTTTAAAGTCAAAATTGTTTTTCAAAAACCTCTCCCATTGAAATAACACAGGAGGCGAAAAATAATTTTCAAAAATGACTTTGAAGCGCTGTAACTTTAATATTCATCAAATAAACTAAACACTTAGTGTTCAAAAAAGTTAGACAATTCAATTTTCTATATGCAAATATTTTTTGCTGAATCTTTTACTGAAAAGATATCCTGATTTCTGATTTGCCCTGAACCCTCCATTTCCCATTGGATTACATGAGAATGACGATTTTCAAAAATTCATCAAATTTATCATCAATTTTCGACCTATTGTAATTGAGGAAAAAAAATTGATTAAAAATGTGGAGGTATTGGAAATAAAGTCAAGTTACGTTTCCATCAATATCATAAGTTATTTCATCGCCGGTTAAGTAAATAAAAAGTCAAACGTAAAGAGGCTTTAACACGTAGTTCAATGGAGAAAAAAGGTTGCCAAACTTACTTTGGTTCATAATAGCAGTCAACCAAATGCTCTTTCCAGTGCGTTATAGTATATGTGTGTGTACCTCTCCTGGTTTATGATGTGGATGGGGGGGGCACGACGCCATTGAACACCCTGTAGCGAAGGTTCGATTGATCGAACAGCTAACTGACTCAACCAAGTGGGGTTAAGTCGTTGTTGACCTATTGTTTTAGAATAGTTAGTTTCGTTTTGATTTGTATTGCATTTGGTTAAATATTAAGTTCTCGAAAAAACGTTCTTTTTTATCAAGTCCGACGACGGTACTGGAAGGCTGCGACAGGTTCTCCACAAAGTAAGAACTTTTCCAGTTTTGGCATATCTACAGTATAAATTACGGATATGTAGCTGATTAAACTTTTAAATAATTTTTAGTAAAACGTAATTATCAATAACATAAAAATTGCAAAATACACGTAAACAGTCAAATACAAAACATTATTTTGTAATAGTCAAGTATAAAACATTTGGCTAAAACACTCGTTACGAAACGAGCCTCTACAATTTCAGCGTGTAAAAGTGATTATGTATTGACAGTTGTGTGAAGATGCTGCAAACATCTGGTATGATAGTCGACCCGAGCGCCCCGATGCTGAAATTGATGAAGACGTATACTAGTACATAAAATGAATAATCGAAATGAAACTCTAAACATCAACATTGAAAATGACCAAGAATCTACATTTCTGAACAATTCCACTGAATCACAATCTCTCAGATCGAAATACATGAAGATATTTCGAAATCCTTGTAATTCGCGTAGACTGCGGATTTACTCAATTGGTATTACACTGGTGGCCTTGATTGCAATAGCATGGGTAATAACATTGTTAGCGCTAGCAGCAAAACAAGGTAGAAATATTTAAAGCATTTTCTCTAAAATCTAATTTGTTTATCTTCTTGCGAAATGAATACTTGTAGATCATTTATCGTGTCTGTCATCAGGCATGTGTTTCGGTTTTATACTTGGATTCGTTTGCGTAAGCTGATCATTTGCAAATGGCTTTTCATGGTGTCAAAGAATATCACATCTTTTGCTTTTCAAATAGTTTTGAATACTTGTGAGAATATCATAAAGTAAAATAATCCATTTGCGTATGTGTATATGGCGTCGAACGAAATGACTGGGATTGGCTCCCAGAATCGAAGTCGATATTTTCCAACAATGAAAACGCTGAAATGGCGTTATTTTCTGAAATTATAACCGAATATTAATTCAAAATAAATAGTTCAAATGATTCGAACCAACATCTCGATCATTTCTTGTGAGTTTTGGAATTTTTCGTTGGGAAATAAGACCAAAATTCACGATTCAATGTTGAAGTGAACAAAATGGCGGCTGTTGGAACTCGAATTTTGTACCATGACATCCCCATATATGGGACAGAATATCGATGTTGCACTTTGGGAGCCAATCCTCCTTGACTGTCCGTAAAAATTATGGGTTTTAAATATAGTGAAGTACGTAAATCTGGTAACACTTACATTATTTTTCTTGACAGATCAAGCATGTGCAAATCAACCAGATACCACAACTGTGAAGATGAAAAACGTTAGCGAACCAGGTACAGGTGATCATATGGCAACTGTAGATGATAAGACGATGAAATCAAAACAGGAGAATGTTACAATGATTTTGAAGGAACATATTTCCATTATAAAATCCAACGCCATACGATGCAAAGAAGACCCAAACCTGTTTCTCTGTCAGTAATAGAGGTGACTTTTTGATCAAAACTGTGTTAAAACAAAATTATTATAAAAAGGGAGAGTGTAAAAAAGACACGAGAACGAGAGAAATATTTAAGAACTTAAAAAGTATATTTACAAACTGACAATTCTCTTTTGTTGACTGACGTCATGCTACCGCGGTAAATATAAAAAAAATGTTGCAGAATCACTGCTTTCAATACTTTGAAACAGTAATATAGACAGTCCTTGATTTATATTTACAAAGGCCAAATCCATTGGAGTTTCAAGTTATAACGAAGTTTAACAGTGGTCCTTTTATAAACAAACCCCTAACAAAAAATATAAATTCACTGTGATTTACTTTTTTTAATTAAGTAACTACACGATTTATCAGTAAGAAAAAAATGTTACTTTAAGATTTTCGACATCTAAAATGTAACTCGACTTTTTTGTGATTATGAGTCAAAGAAAGCATTCTTGAGTTTCAAATTGACTTCTGTGGTAACTTGAAACCATATCCTAATTATTTCACAAACCCTTTGCTGATTCTGCAATAGTTTGTGAACAGCATTTAGCCTTTTAAATTGGGAACTTTTCTGAAATTTCCAAAATGGCTGCCATCTGATTCCAGAATTAACATGAGTGTGACGTGACATCACAGTTGCTCGTTCCTAGGTAACAACAAGATCACAATTGCTCGTTTCTAGGTAGCAACAAGATTTTTGATTAAAATGGCACAGAATTGCCCTGATTTTCAAAGAATATATTTGGAGAAACAATAAAAGGTAAGTGGAATAAATTATAGTATAGTAGGAACAAGGGGTTCCCATGCACCCATAAGGTGTGAATAAGTTACATACATTTTTGTAATCCCTAGGGTGTCTATTTAATGAATTCATTTGTTAACATTGCCAACTAATGTCCCATAGTACTTTTATGGCGGCATTCAGTTACCATGGACATCTTACCTTGGTATCTTAAATCATTTGTAGCTCTGTCATTATTTGGTCTATAGAAATGATATTGGTACCAAATTAAACCTCGTTAAATTTCCAATAAATTTTTGATATTCAATTATGCAAATTATCTAATTTGCATAAATTATGACGTCATCAATCTATTTTTGGTTCAGAATTTCCAACTATAGCAACGTATCTATTAGAACTGAGGCCGTATGGCAAAATTTTTGAAAGGTTTTGTCCTTTATCCTATTAGTAGAAGGTATAAGCAACATAAAAGTGAAAACAGATTCAAAATTGAATCAGTATTACGAAAGTTATGGAACTTTCAAGGCAGCTATCGTGAATGTCATTATTTGACAATAATATACATATGTCTTACCTTGGAGTCTTGAATCAATGTAGGTTCGCCATTATTTGGTCTATAGAGATGATATGGTATCTGATTAAACCTTATTAAATTTACTTTATGGTTACAATATTTATTTATGCAAATTAGCTAATTTGCATTAATTGTGACGTCATCAATCCATTTTTGGTTCAGAATATCCTAGTATAGCAACATATCTATTAGAACTGAGGCCGTATGACAGAATGTGTGCATAGTTTTGTCCCTTATTTGATGAGTGGAATATATAGGCAACATTAAAGAGACAACAAATCTTCAAAATTGGATCAGAATTAACAAAATTATCCAGCTTTGGAGGCAGCTACTGTGAACGTCATTGTTTGACAATTATAAAAAGAATATTAAATTAACAAAAAAAGTAACAACCATAGTTGTTTCAATCTTATTGAGTAAAAATGTGCATGTATTGAACTGAACTAATAAGTATGTGGAAAGGTAACATGCATTTTGACTATCATTCACAGGGGTCAAAACGGTTATCTCGACCCTGTATATTAAAGATCCAATCTTATAATTTTCCATGCACTTTCAATGATTCATATAAATAGTATACATATAGTCTGATTTTCATCATATTCTTCATATTCTTGATTCTTAAAGCATCTGAAGTATATAGCATGATTAGAAGTGAAGATGATTCATCATATGGTTCATGTAATATTTTTAACATTTCAGATGCTATGGTAACATCACTTGATAATGAGGTTTTTACATTTCACGTTCTTAATGAGTTAAAAGGAAGTTATTCTCCCTTTGCTTTAGAGATAAATAGTCCCATGAATTTGTTTAGAAAAATTATAACTTAATCAATTTAACCCCCCCCCCCCCTGACAGCCCCATATTTGAAGATTTTGGTGAAACCTGGCAAAATACATTAATTATTAGGTTCCAGAAGCCCCCAGAAGCTATATGATGGCCCCCAGTGGCCCCAAGAATCTATACAGGGGCCCCAAGTGGCCCCCAGAAGCTACACTGTGCTCCCAAGAAGCTATATGTTGGCCCCAGAAGCTGAATAGTGGCCCCCAGGAGCTATACGGTGGCTCCCAGAAGCTATACAGGAAACCCTGTGGCCCCCAGGAGCTAGAAGCTATACAAGGGCCCCCAGAAACTATACTATGGTCTCCAGAAGCTATATGGTGACCCCCAGTGGCCCTGGGAAGCTATATGATGGCCTCCAGAAGCTAATTAGTGGCCCCCAGGAGCTATACGGGGGCTCCCAGAAGCTATACAGGGGACCCCAGTGGCCCCAAGAAGCTAAACGATGGCCCCCAGAAGCTATACAGGAGCCTCAAAAAGCTACAGGATGGCCCCAATGGCTCCCAGAAGATGCGAAGGGCCCCCAGTAGCCCCTAGAAGCTAAACGATGGCCCCCAGAAGCTATACAGGAGCCTCAAAAAGCTACAGGATGGCCCCAATGGCTCCCAGAAGATGCGAAGGGCCCCCAGAAACTATACGGTAGCCCCCATAAGCTATACGATGGCCTCCAGAAGCTATACAGTGTCCCCCAAAGGGCCACCATATAGCTTTTGGGGCCATCGTATAGCTTCTAGGGGCTACTGGGGGCCCTGTATAGCTTCTGGGAGCCATTGGGGGCCATCATATAGATTCTGGGGGCCATTGTGTAGCTTCTGGGGGCTGCTGTATAGCTTCTGGGGGCCATCGTATAGCTTCTTGGGGCCACTGGGGTTCCCTGTATTGCTTCTGGGTGCCACCGTATAGCTCCTGGGGCCACTAATTAGCTTCTGGGGGCCATCATATAGCTTCTGAGGGCCACCATATAGCTTCTGGAGACCACAGTATAGTTTCTGTGGGCCCTTGTATAGCTTCTGGGGGCCATCGTATACCTTCTGGGGGGCCCCTGTATAGATTCTTGGGGCCACTGGGGGCCATCATATAGCTTCTGGGGGCTTCTGGAACCTAATAATTAATGTATTTTGCCAGGTTTCACCAAAATCTACAAATATGGGGGCTGTCAGGAGGGGGTTAAATTAAGTTATAATATTTTAAACAAATTCATGTGACTATTTATCTCTAAAGCAAAGGGAGAATAACTTTCTTTTAACTCATTAAGAACGTGAAATGTAAAAACCTCATTATCAAGTGATGTTACCATAGCATCTGAAATGTTAGAAATATTACATAAACCATATGATGAATCATCTTCACTTCTAATCATGCTTTATACTCCAGATACTTTAAGAATCAAGAATATAAAGAATATGATGAAAATCAGACTATATGTATACTATTTATATGAATCATTGAAAGTGCATGGAAAATTATAAGATTGGATCTTTAATATACAGGGTCGAGATAACCGTTTTGACCCCTGTGAATGATAGTCAAAATGCATGTAACCTTTCCACATACTTATTAGTTCAGTTCAATACATGCACATTTTTACTCAATAAGATTGAAACAACTATGGTTGTTACTTTTTTTGTTAATTAAATATTCTTTTTATAATTGTCAAACAATGACGTTCACAGTAGCTGCCTCCAAAGCTGGATAATTTTGTTAATTCTGATCCAATTTTGAAGATTTGTTGTCTCTTCAATGTTGCTTATATCTTCCACTCATCAAATAAGGGACAAAACTATGCACACATTCTGTCATACGGCCTCAGTTCTAATAGATATGTTGCTATACTAGGATATTCTGAACCAAAAATGGATTGATGACGTCACAATTAATGCAAATTAGCTAATTTGCATAAATGAATATTGTAACCATAAAGTAAATTTAATAAGGTTTAATCAGATACCATATCATCTCTATAGACCAAATAATGGCGAACCTACATTGATTCAAGACTCCAAGGTAAGACGTATGTATATTATTGTCAAATAATGACATTCACGATAGCTGCCTCGAAAGTTCCATAACTTTCGTAATACTGATTCAATTTTGAATCTGTTTTCACTTTTGTGTTGCTTATACCTTCTACTAATAGAATAAAGGACAAAACCTTTCAAAAATTTTGCCATACGGCCTCAGTTCTAATAGATACGTTGCTATAGTTGGAAATTCTGAACCAAAAATAGATTGATGACGTCATAATTTATGCAAATTAGATAATTTGCATAATTGAATATCAGATATTTATTGGAAATTTAACGAGGTTTAATTTGGTACCAATATCATTTCTATAGACCAAATAATGACAGAGCTACAAATGATTTAAGATACCAAGGTAAGATGTCTAAAGATGCGTAACCATGGTAACTGAATGCCGCCATAAAAGTACTATGGGACATTAGTTGGCAATGTTAACAAATGAATTCATTAAATAGACACCCTAGGGATTACAAAAATGTATGTTACTTATTCACACCTTATGGGTGCATGGGAACCCCTTGTTCCTACTATACTATTAGAAGATGGTTTCAAGTTACCACAGAAGTCAATTTGAAACTCAAGAATGCTTTCTTTGACTCATAATCACAAAAAAAGTCGAGTGACATTTTAGAAGTCGAAAATCTTAATTGATTTAGTTTGCCTATAATCAGGTCATTGGATTTGAGTACACTGAAAGTAATTGAGGGTGTAAGCAAGGGTTCATTTTTTATATTATTCTTATTTCTATATATAATTATTTCGTTTCGAAGAAGGGATCTAATATTAGGTTTAGAAATATTTTAGAGCACCATGTTATATACGTGGAAAAGGCTTAGATACAACAAGAGAGTTTGTGACCGACTAATTTAAAGAATAGTTATTTG